CAGAAGGCCAACATGGGGCCAAAACCGCAGTAAAATCCATGATTTTGGTTTCAAAGAAGAGGGCCGGATTCCCCCCCCCCCCCCGTCGGGGCCAGAATCCTCGTGAGGGGTGTCGTTTTTTAACCCTCCCAGGAGTCGAAAAAGACCCCTCCAACCACCCGCGGAACGCGCTCTCCAGGGGGAGGGGGCAGGGGAAGGGGTAAACCCCCCCCCGAAGGGGAAGAAGGGGGTTGAGAACAGAGCGGGCTCTCTAAACCACTCACGCCCAAAGGGCTGGTGGGATTTGATGACTCCCGGTCCTGCCCAAGCCATGTCTCTAAGACTCCGAAAGGCACTCGGTTCCATTCCCAGCGCCCCCTCGAGGGCGTGATAGATGGCGGGGGGCATCCTTACACGCGGTGTTGGTACGCAACGTCGTTTACCTGGTTGTTGGGCCAACTTGCCCAGGCGCGCCCTGTCGTTCGCACAGAAGGGTTTTTGTGTGGGGGGGGGAAGGTTCGCCTGTCTGGAGTTTTGAAAAGCGATTGGCAAAAACAAAGGGGGGCAAGGCTCTTCCCTTGCGTTTGCGGCAGGTCGGGCGAATTTGCCTGACGGGGGAGGGGGCCCTTTCTGTGCGTCTTCTCTGCGCGGCCCCAACCCCGAGCCCACCAAGATCCACACCCCTGGGAATGAGATGTTTGGCCCGCCTGGGCGCGTTGCGGAGGGCAGCGGGTCTCAATCTCAGCGCGGGCGATCTTGTTCGGAGGGTTTGGAGCAGGCCGCGCGCCACCAGGGAGGGCGTCTGCCCTGGACTCGGGCGCGCCCCAGGACACCCCCCGATGGCTTGGGCGTTGCCGAGGCGAAAGGTTTTGCCCACGGCATCCTGTGGCGTTGGGTCCTTGCATTGGGGGGGCGATCCCCCGCGTTTCTCCTCCTCTTCTCCTGCCCCTCCCCCCGCCCCCTCCTGCGCTTGCTTCCTCCGCGCCACACACCATTTTGGCGCGCCCCTCGCGCGGTTCGTCGCCTCCTGGGGGGCCCCGCCGAAGGCCCCAGTGGCGTGGCCCACGTGGCGGCGCCGCCCCACGTGCTCGCACCCCCCACGCGGTTGGTGGCCCCGCAGGGCGCCCACAGCTGTAAGAGGTTGGGTATTTCGTCAGGCTCGCGCGAGCATCCGGTCGATGTTTGCATGCTGCCGTCTCCCGGCGCGCCCTGGGAGGTGCACGTGGAGTGGCCAGACATGTGGGCGGTGTGCAAGCGCCGTTTTGAGGAGATCTTCATCAAAAAATGGGAGACATGTCCGTCCGCACTCCCCGCGCGACTTTCTGCCGCAAGTTCTTGCCAGAGCTCAAGCTGTTCCTCGACCCCGACGCCATCGCCCACGCCATCGAGGCCGAGGAGGAGGAGCGCAACATCCCCCTGTTGGTGCTGACGTATTTGCTCAAGTCCGAGATCGGGCAGAAAATCTACAGCGGGGAGGCCCGCCAGGCGAAGTGGTATTCCTTCCTCGTGGACACGAAGAAACGCCTGGCTGATGTTCTCCACGCTGATTTTGACCAGGTGGCATATGATAGTTTCACGGCTGCGTCCAAGGCTGGGGTCCGAGATCTCTTGAACAGCAGTTTCCAGGCGCACGGCACATATGAGTTTGATGTAGAGTATTTCGGCCAGGAGCGCAAAATGTCCGTGACGCCATTATCGGAGGTGCCCGCCGTCATGTGCGAAGTCCTCTTGCGCCAGGTCGTCGTGAACACAGGGCAGGTGCAGCCGATGCCCTGGGAGAAGCACATCATCGACGCCCTGGGGGGGCACATTCCGAATTTGCCCACGGGGGTGCGCGTCCAGACCTCCTTGATCAGCGACTTCGTCGGCGGGAGGCAGGTGTGGCGCAAAGCCCTTGCGTCTTGCAGGACGTGGTATCCTCGCTTCGTCCTTCGCCCTCCCCCTTCCGCCTTCTTGCCCCGAGGGGCGGCGGCGCGCATGGCGCTGAAGTTTGCCATTGCGGGCGGCGGCGCCTTGATGCGCATTTGTCGCAACCGGGGACAGTAGAGGGCGCGGGAACAGGAGGGGGGGGAACATCAGGAGGAGGAGGAGGAGGAGGAGGAGGAGAAGGAGGAGGGGGAGGAAGGGGGCGGAGGCGGAGGCGGGAGAGGAGGGCGAGGAGGGGGAGGCGCAGGAAACAAGGCGGAGGAGGAGGAGGAGGAGGAGGAGGAGGAGGAGGAGGAGGAGGAGGAGGAGGAGGAGGGGGAGGAGGAGGAGGAGGAGGAGGAGGAGGAGGAGGAGGAGGAGGAGGAGGGGGACCTCCAGAGATGAGTCGGCCATGGTGGCCGCTCGATTTCGGCCGTTTCGTCTGGGCCGCAATTCTCCTTGGGGGCGCTCGTGCTTGTGAGGTCGCGAAAACTTATGGTCTTCCCATAGTTCACCGCGTGGGCGCGGGGGCGCGCCCAGTGCGCGGAGAACGCAGCGCAGCGACAATCCAGGAACGATGCTGAAATTTTAGGTTGTGAGCCCCATTTCGCGCCGCCGCCCTCCTGGGCACGCGCTGGGCCCTCGCGGGTTCATTACAGGCCCCCGCAGAGTAGTCTGAGGCCGTTCCCGCGCGTTTGTTGAAGCCCGCCCCAGGCCCATGCGAGGCCCCCACGGGCATGTTCACAGTGGGCGCCCGCGGGTTTATTTTGGCGCCTCCGAAGAATTATGTTGGCCTTCCTTCAGATTCATCTCAGGTTCCCGCGGACTTCTATTGGGGGATCTTCGCGGGTTTATCTCAGGGCGTGGGAGGTTTTACCTTAGGCTTTCCCCGGGGTTCTTAAAAGAGCCCGCCCAGGTTTGGAGTAAGCCCCCGCTGGTTGATCTCTGCGCCCACGCGGGTTTATCTCAGCTCCCCTGCAGGTTTAACGACGCCCCCGTAGGTTTACGTATGCTCTTCTGCAGGTTCACGCAGGGGGTTTCATCGAAGCCCCTGTGGCGCGGGCTCAACACTCGGGCTCCCAGAGCAGATTCAATTATTCACTGCGTGGGGCTCCCCATAGGTGCATCTATTCGCATGGACATTTGCGCCGTGAGTGCGTAGGCGCAAGAGTTTTGGATGATAAACGGCCGTCAGTTGTGACTGTCTGGGCTTGCGTATACTGGAGAATGGATTGGAGTGTGAATGAGCCTCAGTAGTACGAGGGCGTCTCTGCGCATGGGCCTGGGTCCTCCTGGGGCTTCGTGGGGCTTCAAAAAAAAAACATACTGGGGCTTCGTGGGGCCTCCAGGGGCCCCTTGGGGCGCCCTTGGGTCCCCCTGGGACCTCCCACGGGGGATTCGCGCCCCAGGAGAGGCGCAATCTGGAACAACAAACGTGCGTCAAACATTGCGGAGTGGAACCGCAGGAGAAGGGGGCAATCTGTAGGCACATGCGTAAAACACCAAAGGCTCGTACCCCAAGAAGGGCCCTACAGGAACATAGGTGCACAGGAGAAAAACAATCTATATACACATACGTCTAGCAGCAAGGAGTCGAGCTCCAGGTGAGGCCCAAGCTGTAGGGACATACGTAAAACACATGGGATTGGAGCCACTCCTGTTGCCTTCTGAGGCATCCTGCTCCTGGGGCCTCTCTGGGCCCCCTGTTGCTTTCCGAGGCCTCCTGGCGTTTCCTCTGGCCTCCTGGGGCCTCCTGGGGCTTCCTGAGGCCTACCAGAGTTTCCTGGTGCCTCCTAGCGCATCTTGGGACATCCTGTGGCCTCTTGATTTTTTCTGTGGCCTCCTGATGCCTCTTGGGGCCTCATGTGGTGTCCTGGGGCCTTTTGGAGCCTGTTGGAGCCCCCCGTGGCATTTCATCTATGTGTTGCCACTGGTTCGCCGGCTTGCCTGGGCGACTCGAAGGGGGGCCCCCCCTCCTGCATGATACAAATGCGGGCAGCTTTTGTATCATCCATCTGGCGTCTCGTTCCTTCCTCCTCGCCTCCTCCCCCTCTTCGGGCTGCCCTTTTCGAGCCGCATTGGGGTGGTTCTGGCACGCAGCCTAATACGTTGCCGCTTTTCGCCACGGAGTGCACGGGAGTCCATGCGGAACCCCGGCCTTATGTCACATAAGACCAGGGAACACGCGTCCCCAGGGATCCCAGATTGAACGCCGAAAGTCTTCAGGGTGACTTACAGCACGTTCTGAAAGAAATCGTTTCTGGAGGAAAAAGAACAGAAAACAACTTAACAAACAAAGAACATAAAGCCCCCTTGTGGCATCCCGAAGAGAATCTGAACCCACGAGTCTGGCGACCGATCGAGACATTTTGAATGGCTGGCCCACCAGGGGGTGGAAGTGAACGCCCCGTTCCAGACATTATCCATATCTGCTCCGAAGACGAAGGATGTTGGGACAGAAGACAGGCAAACCGCTTGACACATCCCCACAACACGGCCGCGAACGGGACCGTGAGATATTCCCTGGCGGTCCCTTATGAGGGTGAGAATGAACACCTCGCTCGAGACATCCACGAAATCTGCTCCGACTGTGAAGGATGTTGGGAGAGAAGACAAGCAACCCCCTTGAGACATCACCACAAGACGGCCGCGATCGGGACCGTGAGATAACCCTTGGCGGCTCCCTTTAGGGAGGTGAAAATGAACGCCTCGTTCGAAACATCCTCCAAAGTTGCTCCGAAAGCGAAGGATGTTGGGACAGAAAACCCGCAAACCGCTTGAGACATCCCCACAAAACGACCGCGAACGGGGCGCGCGTGAGTCTCAACATGGGACTCAGTCTGGGTAGGAGGAGGTCTGAGTATGATTGGGTCAGAGCATGAGTAATTTTGTGTGCGAGCAAGTCTGGACCTGAGTGTAAGTCGCTGATGCAGGCGTTTCGCGCCTTTTTGGTTTCGCGTCGTCACGGCCGAACAAGTTTTGCCTGCTTCGTTGCGGGCGGGTGGGGGGGATGTTTGCGTGAGCGCGGGGGCTCTGTAAACGCGGTGTCTGGGTTCCCCGCTGGCCTTGCGATTGTCCGTGCCCTTGCAGTCCGCCCTTGCTTGTCCGTTGCCAAGGACGTACGAGTCCATGTCGCGGGAGATGAGGCTGGCCAGGGAGAGCACGCGTGAGATTGATTCTTACTCTTATTTGGATGAGGATTTCTTCAACGACGGCGTGCCCGGCCTGGTGGAGGGCATGGTGCGCCAGATGGTTCTCCAGAAGCTGCCTGTTTTGGAGCAGCCGCCGAACGATTGCTCGGCGGCGCACCCCGTGGAGCGCAAGGCCGAAGAGGCCGCAGCTGCCATCGCCTAGATCGCTGGCAGTCACATGGTGGCCCACAGCGCAGAAACGGTCAGGGATCAGGTGAACGCCGCCTTGTTGATCGTGAGGTCGGTGATCGATGGTGAGTCCTTGAACCAGGCTGGCATGCAGAAGGCGTCGGCCTTCCACAAGCAGGTGTATCAGAAATGCGAGATGTTCATGGTTCACGACAATGGAGATACCTGCCTCGTGGACGGGCGCAAGGTGATGTATTTGTACGGTGCAGACGCCATGAAGGCTCGCCTCATGTCCTTGAGTAGCGACATTGAGAAGGGTGCGGTCGACCTGACCTCGTTGAAGGTTTTTCGGCAGTTCAGGTGGCTTTTGACGCCTCAGGAGGACCTGGTGGTGAAGAGGTGCGTCACGGAGGAGCGCAGGAAGAGGCAGAACATCCTCGAGAAGGGGATGATCATGGACGCGCCTTTGGGCAAGCACGAGGACTGCGTCAAGGGCGCCGCGGCCCCGACGCAGACGGCGGGCGCCGCCGTCGAGCCCGAGAATACACGAAGGCTTTGCCTTTTCTTCCGCCGCCCCAAGCGGATGGTCTGGGGAACCGCTCTGCGGGGTGCTTCGCCCCTCCCGCAGGGGCGGCGCCGCTCGCGCCGTAGCGGGGCAAGCGCCCGCCTGAAGCAGAACTCGCGGCCCATTTGACCCCCCCATGGTTGCGGCGGGGAACCGGTTCTGCAATGCGTGTCTTGCAGGGGTAATTTCTCAACGGATTTTCTGTTCCCCTGGCCCCTCGGCCTGGGCGGCGTCTGCGGCCGAAAAGGAGTGCTCGCGTCTGCGTTGCTCTGGGGGGTCGCAGCCGCGGCGGGGGCCATTTCTCGTGGGAGGCGGGCATCGGGGAAGCCGAGTTCGGAGTCGGCAGTTTTTTTTTGTGGTGGATCCGGCATTCTGCAGTCACTTCTGGCTTGGCGCCCCGCCTCCGCGGCGGGCAGGCAGCAGTTTCCCCGAAAGGGGGGCGCACGGCTGCCAGGGAGGGAGGGGTGGGGGGCCCCTGGGGCTCACCCTTCTAGTCTTCTGATTTTTTCCCCCCCTCCTCCTCCTCCTCCTCCTCTCCCCCCTCCTCCTCTTCGTTTTCAGCACCCTTCCTATTTTCCTCCCTCGTTCCTGCTCCTTTTTCAATTTCTCCCTCTCGTCCTGCCTCCTCTTCCGCCTCTTCCTCCTCTTCGTCCTCCTTGTCTCCCTGCGGAGGTAGCCGGTCAGGTCTGCGCCTGCGCCGCCTCCTTGGGGTCGTGCTTGGATGCGGGGGGCCAGGGTCTGGACGTGCACGCCGCCCCTGGCCGAACCCATTCTGTTGTCAGGATCGCTGAGGGTAAGCCTCCGTGGTCTGGCCAGGCCCTTCGTTTTCCCCCTCCTCCTGCTCTCGTTCCATCTCCTCCTTCCTCGTCCGCCGTCCTCTCCTCCTCCTTTTCCTCTTCCTCCTCCTTGTCCTCCTCCCCCTCCTCGCCCTCGTGCTTCCTTTTCGCTCCCCCCCTCTTCTTCTCCTCCTTCTCCTCCTCTTCTTTTGCCTTCTCGTCGCCCTCTTCCCAGCCTTATTCGGGGCGCCTTGGCTGCGAGGCTGTTCTCCGAAAAGTCACGGCGGCAAACTCTCCGCCACCCGCAGGGCCCCGCGATTCCCAGCGGCCCCCGTCGCGCGCCCACGGCAGAACCATCGGTTCGGCGGACTCGGAGGCCCCCGCTGCGTCGAGCGCCGCCGCGCCGGCAGAGGTGGCTCCGCCTAAGGGCGGTGCCGACGCCAGCACCTGCCCCGCGCCGCCGTCGGCCTCTGGCGCGGCGCCACCTGCCTCGAGCGAGCAGCCGCCGCCTAAGAAGGCTAAAATGGGTGCTAATGGTAAAGCACCGGCGCCCACTGTCGAAGAGAAGCTGGCGCTTTTCATGCCAAAGGGCAAGAAGGGCACCAAGGCGTAGGCACTTTTCTGGACCTTCTCACGGGGACCAAGCCGCCCGCCCTTGAACAGGGGACAGGGATGGTGGTTTGGCAACGCGAACACTCGAGAGCGACAGTTGTTGGATCCGTTGCGGGGTGCGGCGGAAAATTTGTCGCTGCGTGGGGCCCCCCAAATGTGCATCTATTCGCATGGGCCTGTCCGCCGTGAGTGTGTGGGCGCAAGAGTTTTGGATGACAAACGGCCTTCAGTTGTGACTGTGTGGGCTTGCATATAATACATAATGGATTGGAGTGTGAATGGGCCTCAGTAGTGCGAGGGCGGCTCTGCGCATGACCCTGGGTCCTCCTGGAGCTTCCTGGGGCTTCAAAAAAATAACATTCTGGGACCTCCAGGGGCCTCTTGGGGCCTCTTAGGACCTCCTGGGACCTCCTAGGGAGGGTCCGTGCCCCAGGGGGGGCCAAATGTATAGCAACGAGCGCACGTGCAACATTGTGGATTTGAGCCGCAGGAGTAGGGGGCAATCTATGGGAATACGCGTAAAACACCAAGGAATCACGCCCCAGGAGAGGCCCTATGGGAACAGCAGTGCACAGGAGAAGGGCATATTCAGAACATCAAGGATTCGTGCTCCAGGTGAGGAATAAAAGAAATATAGGAACATGCGTAACACACATGGGTTTGGAGCCACTCCCGTTGCCTTCTGAGGCCTCCTGCTCCTGGGGCCTTTCGGGGCCTCCCGCTGCCTTCCGAGGCCTCCTGGCGTTTCCTCTGGCCTCCTGGGGCCTCCTGTGGCTTCCTGAGGCATCCCGGAGCTTCCTGGGGCCCCCCAGAGCCTCTTGGGACATCCTGTGGCCTCTTGAGTTTTTCTGTGGCCTCCTGATGCCTCTTGGGGCCTCATGTGGTCTTTTGGGGCCCCATTGGGGCCTGTTGGAGCCTCCCGCGGCATCCGGGGAGAATCTGTGCCTGCGAGTCTGGCCACCGATCGATACATCCTCAAAAACTAGCCCGCCTGGGGGGTGAAACTGAGCGCCTCGCTCGTGTCATTTTCCGAATCTGCTCCGGAACCGAATGATGTTGGGACAGAACAGGCACGCCCCTTGAGACATCCCCACATAACGGCCGCGAGCGGGAACGTGAGATAACCCCTGGCGGCTCCCTCGAGGGGGGTGAACATGAACGCCTCGCTCGAGACATCCCCCAAATCTGCTCCGAAAGCGAAGGACGTTGGAGCAGAAAACGCGCAAACCGCTGAGACATCCCCACACAGCGGCCGCGAACGGGACGGGGAGATAACCCCTGGCGTCTCCCCTCAGGGGGGAGAGCATGAGCGCCTCGCTCGAGACATCCTCCAAATCTGCTCCGAAAGCGAATGATGTTGGGACAGAACACAGGCAACCCCCTTGAGACATCCCCGCAGAAGGGCCGCGAACGGGAACGTGAGATAACCCCTGGCGGCCCCCCTTATGGGGAGTGGAAGTGAGCGCCTCGCTCGAGACATCCTCGACATTTGCTCCGAAAGCGAAGGATGCTGAGACAGGCGAGGGCGCCAGCAACTGCATGCGCCGGTCGTTCGCCCAGCGAGCCGGGGGCGCCAACTACGCGTTTTTAAACACACTTTTACACACCCCCTGTAAACGTTCAGATAGCCGCCTCAACTGCAAATTAAGAGGAGGACTAGTGCATTCTCTCTCGTGCTTGTCCCTCCTCTCCTGGCGCAAAGTTTCGGCTCGAGGCGCGGGTTTCGCGGGCGAGGCCCGCACTCGAGCCTTCAGAGAGGGGTAGCTTCCAGCCCCTGCTCGCCCCGAGCCCGCCAGGCTCGGGCGCCGCCACGACGCCGGCCATCGGGCGTCCCGGCTGGCTGCTGGTGACCGCGCTCGCCCTCTGCGAGCTGGACGGGCTGCTGGAGGTCTTCGGCGGGCGCCAGCGGGAGTCCGAGGAGGTCCTCATCGAGCCCCTCGACCTCGGGGGTGGCGCCGAGTGGCGAGGGTCGCCAGCAGGGTTCATGGCGCCGTGGAGCAGGTGGAACCGCGTCTACGTCCAGACGCAGGGGAGGAACACGGGGGTGGTGATGCTGCTGGTCAGTCGGGTCGGTCCAGGGACCTCGTTGGTTTGGACCGCGATCGACCCCGCCAAGCGGGTGCAGATCATCAACCTGCGGGACAAGGCGAGGATGCTGCCGCGCCCGAAAAAGGGAGTGACCTGGACCGAGCACCCAGGGCTGAATGAGAAGGAGAGAGAGCAGGCGATCATAGCCGCGGAGCGGCTCATTGTGCGACATGAGCTGGGACAGGCTGGTGCCGAGAGTGCCAAGGCCAACCTGACGAAGGGCAAGAAGGCGAGCTCGAAGGCCAAGGTGGCGTCCTGGTTCGGCAAGGGCCTCGTGACCACCGTGGTGACGGCGTGGGCCCACAAGACGTGGGGTGGTGCTGCAGCGGTGTTCTTTGTGGGCTGGAGGTTGTGGCGTTGGCTGCATCTCGGGTCCTTCTTCGCCGCAGGGTACCACACCGTTTCGGCGGGGATGCAGGCGATCGAGGACCTGGACAACTTCCGCGAGTTCCTGGGGGAGCTGTACGAATCGGGCGACCTCGAGCTGGGCGCGGCATACCTGGGCTGCGTTCTCATCGTGATCTACGGGGTCTGGACATACGGATGCTCGTGCCGAAAGGAGGTCGACTCGGACAGCGACTCGGGCTCGGACTCGGACGGCGGGTCGGTGCACGCTGGCGATGACGTGAGTGATGTGAGTGGCGACGAGCGGGACACCAAGACCCTGTTCGCGGAGTTGGCTCGAGGGTAGTCTGACTTGGCCGACGCTGTGGGCATGTTGAAGTCGAGGCTGGATGTCGGGGGCGGAGCGGGAGCAGGACCTGCCTGCGGCAGTGGGGCTCTGGCGTCGGAGCCAGGCCCGCCTCCCCCGCCCCCCGCGGGGCCGCCGCCGTCCAGAGGAGACGATCCCAGCTCGGCCGAGGTGGATGCGTTCATCAAGAAGCTGACGGAGCACGAGGAGCTGGTGCAGCGGGACTCGGGCTTGAGCACCCGGGCGCAGGCAGGGTCGCCCACGCCGAGTTCGAGTGCGGCATCCTGGGAGAAGGTTGGAGACCTGGGCGAGCTCGATGACCCCCTGAAGGACCAGATCGTGCAGCTGAAGGAGGAGTCGAAGAACCCAAAGGAGAGCTTGCTGACGACGTTGGGGAAGCATCGCCGCGTGGCAGGCTCCCCCGTGGGGGGGATCAGGGCCCGCGTGGCGCCGACAGTGCTGGCGAGGCCCTACAAGGGCGGACGGAGCGCACGCGTGGAGACGCAGGAGTGGCTCCGCTCCAAGGAGCTGCAGGGCGCGGGCCTCGCGCAGGAGCTGAACATGCTGGCTCTGGTCCTTGACAGGATGATGAGCCAGGGGCAGTGCGACGAGCTGATCAACTCGCAGGCCGCGGAGGTGACCTGCCTGCGCCTGTACTCGATCTGGAAGGCCTACGAGCGGGTGCAGTGCAAGAGCGACTGGCAGAGGCCTACGGCGCAGCACGGCGGCAAGTGGCGCTCCAAGGTCGACTGGAGTCTGGCGGAGGAGTACCTGCGCCTCGACGGGGACCCCAACAGCGAGAACAGGTGGGCCGACGACGAGGTCCTGGAGAAGCTCAGGCGGCGGGCGATCCTCAGCAAGCACCTGGGTGAGGTGCGCTCGGGGCAGCCTGCCGGCGAGGACGAATAGGTTGCGGCCGGAGCTATCGTGGTGTGCTCTGGCCAAGGCCTGAGGGGTCAATCCCCTCTACCACGGCCGCGGCGGCGAGCCGCTTTCGTGCCGAGCTTCTTGCTGGACACGTCTTTCGGGTGGTGGTGCTACATCGGGCTGGTGAGCTTCCTGACGATCGGCTGTGGGGTCTTCCACGGCGGCGTCGGAGCGTCGAGGCCTTTCTTGTACTTGGGGCCTCGCGCCGTTCTGTGGCGAGCAGGTTTTCCCGTGCGTCGGAGCGCAGGTCGCTCGGTGGTCCCAGATGCCTACTGGGGAGAAGGATTTGAGAGAGAGGGATCCCTTGAGGAGTCTGCCTGGGCTCCCATTCCCACTACAGTCGAGGAGGTCGAGTTCGAGCCTGTCCGAGAAGGAGCTGAGGACAACCTGGCAGCGGACTTCGAGGACGATAGCGGCGATCAGGAGTATGGCGACGGGCTGTTCAAATGGTTGGATACATCCATCGACCCTGACGGACAAGCAGACGTGCCAGACGGACTGGAGTGCGAGTACGCCGCTACAGAAAAGACTGGTGACGGAAGCCTGGGACCTTCACGCCGCGAGGGCGAAGTGGGGGACCATCAACGACGGCAGGGCGGCATTGAGCCGCTTGGCAGGAGGAAGCCCGACAGAGTATTTTGCGAAGGGAGCGAGGCCTACGACGTCTACGGCATCGAAGGCTTCACCGCAGTTGAGGAAGGGCGACCTGTGCCCTCTGAGAGCGGAGCAGGTGTCTCTCCCAGCGCCGGGGACCCAGAGTTTGGAGGTGGCGGCGATCTCGAGTCTCGCTGGGCGGTACCTCACAGAGGCCGGCCAGCTGATGATCAAGGGCTCGGGGGAAGTCGACTGGGAGAAGTACGAGGCGACAAAGAGCTACTCGGACCCGGCGTGGCGGAGCAAGAAGGAGCGCTTGGCACTTGCCTTGCGGATGGCGCAGGCTGGAATGATAACATATGTGACGAGGGTGCGCGAACATGTCGGGCTGTTCACGGTGGCGAAGGACTTCGACCCCAAGACTGGTGGCATTGTGAAGTCGCGGCTGATCTGGGACTGCCGAAGAGTCAACCTGCTCTTCGTGGATCCCCCGTGGGTGCCTTTGGGCAGTCCCGCGGGCCTCGCGCTCCTAGAGCTGGACGAGGCGGTGCTGCGTGGACGGCGGCTCTTCTCCTTCCAGGGCGACGTACCGGACTGGTTCTATCGGTTGCACTGGGGTTCGTTTTTGGCGGAGTATTTTGTGGTGGAGGATGTCTCGCCGCAGGAGCTGTACCAGTACGGGATGGCGCAGGGTGTGGCTTTGCCGAAGCCGCGCGAGGAGGACGTTGGTATTGGGGCTTCGAGTTT